TATATATATATATATATATATATATATATATATATATATATATATATCCATGTATATATGTGAACCACATGCATTCCTGGCCCCCCACAGAGACCAGAAACAGCATCAGATCTTCTGTAATTAGGGTTGAAGATAGTTGTGAAGTGTCATGTGGATGATGGGAACCAAACTCTGATCTTATACAAAAGTTTCTAATGCTCTTCTCTGCCGAGCTATCTCCTAGCTCTCAATCATCATGATAGTAAACACAAAAACCCTCAAAGCAAACAAACATTGCAGTAGTAATCCATTTCATGAAGTCCACTCATGCCTAAAGTTAAGAAAACTCCACAGTCCCCAGTTAAAAAACAAAAGAAAGGCTAAGCTGGCATTCCTCTCTTCAGAGCTAAGAAACAGCCACATAAAGTTATAGTTTCTAACTGAAGTGAGAGAATGTCTATCTCTGTCTCCCTTCTTTCATTACTCCCTCCCTTTTTCTTCCTCTCTCTTGCTCTTCAATAATGTTGCTCTATGCTGAAAAGCTAGGATGAAAGCCAAGCCATGAAAGGAAGGAGGAGTGAGGCATATTATGAAGTTGGCGAATAACAGAACAAGTGTGATGGGGAGTCTTGTCTCTCCGGACAGAAGGTGATGTTGGATGGCTTCTGGTGTGGTGAACATTTGTGACCCAAAACAATACTTGAAACACTTTCACCCCTCTAAATCATTTGTTCTCGACCTGTGGGTCATGACCCCCACAGATATTTTGCATTTCAGATATTTACATTGTGATTCATAATGGTAGCAAATTAGAGTTATAAAGGAGCAACTAAATAATCTTATGGTTGGGGGAGGGGTCACCACAACATGAGGGGCTGTATTAACTGTTGTAGCATTGGGAAGGTTGAGAACCGCTGCAATGGACCCAGCTTGGAATTCCACAGATACAGTCCCAAAAGAACTTTTGAAATGGGAGCTATTGCTGTTGTTATTTCTGGTTCAGAGCCAGCGAATGGACAGCTAAGTAAGCCAAGCTCCCACGGTGTTTAAAATTGATGTCAACTGAGCCACTGAACATTCATCTTGTGCAGCCGACACTGTTTCTTAAACAAGGTTTTGGGCAGCAAATCAACTTTAGAAACCATAAATTGTTTTTTTATGAAAAAGAAAATCCTCCAGTAGTAAAAATGATTCTGGGGTTGAAAAGCAGATCTACAACAGAGGTGGCCACTGTGAAGGGAGAGGTGGCAAGCCAGCCCCGTACTACAGTTTTCTAACTTCATAATGAGAGAAGAACGTGCAGTGAATGCTTATATCCAGTGAACATGGATGGACACTCATGGCAAGAGTAGAGGAAAATGAAGTCAGAGGCCATGGCAGAAGGTCTGAATTCCCTGGGACAGGCTGACTAGAAAGAATGCCCAGGACTGGCTTGCTCTGACTTCAGTGAGAGACCTTGCCTCAAGAAATAAAGCAGATGGGAGAAGACATCCAACCTCAGCCTTGGGCCTCCAAGCTCATGCACATGCATGCTGGAAAACATGTATACCCATCCACGTTTGAATACGTATGCATGCACTTCTGAACACACATCACACATATGTACATACACATGTAAACATTAAGGAAAAGTACAGAGAGAGTGGAGAAAACATCACAGGGTAATCCATTGCCTAGTTTGGGCAGAGATAAGATTTCCCAGGATTCAGGTCAGCCTTCAACAGTGAAACAGGAATGAAGCCAGGGATGTGGGTCAGTATTCCAGTTATGAGCACTTCCCATGCATCTACTTTGAAACCTTTACTATGGAAGCCATTGCTTGGCTTTTGTCTAAAGCCAGGTTGGAGCTCCAGACGAGAACTTGCACAGTAGAATTGTAACCAGCACTGTTAATATAGAGGAGTTCCCACATGTTCCCTAAAATTCCCAGAGAGGCAGGAGATGCTCCGAGGGTTTCACACAAGACTACAGCTAAGGAAAGGAAAGCCAATGCAGGGTCATGAACCATCCCACCAAGGAAAAGCTGAACAAGGGCTCTAGAGACTTCCCAAGTTTTCCTATCCTGTATGTTGAGAGATTTGGAGGATCTTCCCTCCTAAGAGAAACACAAGGTGCTATGGGGGAAAAATAGCAGCTGCATTTCAAGGAGTTGCAAAGGTCCAGGTAAGAGTGTTTTGATCACAAAGCTAAGACTTTCCAGGCAGTAAATACTGCTTTTACTATGCAAAAATGCATGGCCTTTCTAAAACTAAAATATGCATCTGATATCTAGCTACTAGTACCTCACAGTGAATGTCCAGAATACACTCACTAACCAGGAAGGAACAGTTCGTAATACAATAATTTGCTATTACTTTTTCCTAGGGACACATAAAAAATATTTTGAATTAGCTTTCCTTTCTAAAGCAAGTCCCACAAAGCATGTATCTTTACCCAACATTTAATTCGTACTGAAAAGACTCTTTTTGTCGTTCTTTGGCTGTTAGCCCAGGAAAATAAAAAACTTCCTCTGGAACAACTTTAAACCCTCAGAGGTCAAAGAACAAAAGGCTCCTTCAGAAAAAGTGGAAGGAAGAGAGAGGGCGCACTTCCGGGTACATACACGTTGGTGGTGAAGATGCCATAGATCAGGTCCAGCTCCGGCAGGAAAAAGGTGCCCTGCAGCTCGTTGTAGTAGAAGGGCACCTCTCCAGGCCTGGAGCAGTTGAGGCGAGCCTTCATGAAGGTGGTCCAGGTATCCTCCAGAAGAAACCGCCCTCCAATGTCATTCTTGCAGACCCGGGCCGCCCTGGAGAACACTGTCTTCCCACAGTCATGCTCCACGGCATTTTCTCGGAAGAAGAAGTAGGTGAAATTTCCGATGTCGTAGGAAGACACAAAGTTTGGTTCTGGAAATAGGGAGAAAAAAATATCAGTGCCATATGCCGTTCCTTTCTTTAAAAGTCTTATCTGGAAACTTATTTTTTTTCCCAAAGGAAAGATGGTTCTGTTTGACAACAATTACATAGAAGAAAGAGAGAGAGAGAGAGAGAGAGAGAGAGAGAGAGAGAGAGAGAATTACATACAAGAAAAAAAGAGAAAAATGAGAGGTTCTGCAGACAGCTTACCAATACCTGCTAAGGAAATGTGTGGGTGTGCATGTATCTTATTAAGAGATGAAAGTGTGATTCTTGTCCCAGCCATCCCGAGTTAAGTCTGCACCCATGTTCACAAGGCAGTAGTGCCATCAGAAGCTTATGTACTTACGAATATATGTATGTACAGATGAATGTGACAACAATTAATGACAAAGGAGGCATTGGACTTGAAAGAGAACAGGGAAGGGTGTATGGGAGAGTTTGCAGGGAGGAATGGGTAAAGGGAAATGATCTAATTACATTGTAACCACAAAAAATAAAAGAAAAATTTAAAAATGAAACAAAACAAAACAAACAAGCAAGTAGCACATGTTTCCAGATCAGTATGTCCCATTGTCTGAAGGTCCTTTCTCATGTTTCAGGAAGAGAGGAAGAGAATAAGATACAGAGGACTGAACCTGTTGGGGAATACTGGATTCAAAAGTAGCCATTGTGCAAGACGACACTTAAGCACATATGCATATTATGGATATAATTCACATGCTTTCACTAAGGTTCTTAAAATGATTTTTTGAAGGCAAAAACTGAATCAAACACTCATACTGCAAGGTTGATACCCTGAATTAGCTTTAGCATCATGGTTACTATGGTGACAACCACAATTGTGACAATCAAGCCTTGTTTCCTGATTTCTAGGTCACCAAGGGAATCCACAGAGAGGGAAAATGAGTGTTGAAACAGTCTGGAAGCTTTATGGACTCATAATCAGCGGAAATAGTGGAATTTAGAAATGCAAAAATCATGGCAAAGCCTTTATTTAACCATCAAGCTTATTAGGAATTTGGGAATCAGAATTTTACACATAGCATTTAGAGTGTTATCTTCTTAACTTGGGATTGAGCCTAATGACAATGGAAATGCTCACGTGCCCTAATTCTTTCCTTTAAAAACTCCAGGAAGCAGTTTCACCTCTCCTTCGTTTACTTCCATGGCAACTCAAATAATTCATTAGACATCAGAATTTTATGGTGCAATTAGTATAATCATGGCAACAACCTTTGTTGTTCAGAATTAATGGAGAGAGGTACTGTATCTACAAGGCTTCACTTTTAGGGACAATCGCTTTGTTACGGACCATTCACCTGGCCCTGTACTTGACAATGTCTGATTGATCACACCAGTTTGCATTCTATTGGCAGAATGACTGAGAATGGTCTTGCAAGCAAGATAATCCTGCAGTGTTAGTAGGACACACATGGGCTCCTGCAGGAGCATAGTCAAGGGATAACATCAACACTGATCCTACTTTCAACATGTCCCGCAAACTGTCAACAATTTTCAACCATCTCTCTCATCAAAAATAGAAAAATAACAAATAGCACATTTATTCTACTTTTCCCTTTAGCTCCTTTTATTGCTCCTGGGCCAATTAAGTAAATCGAAGGATACACAGAAATCTTGACAAGAATTGATTTAGTTGCTATGCCACCAAGCACTTGTGCTTAGGTCACTGTTGACTTTTACCTGAAATAGATGCATTAGAAATAAACAAACTAAATCGCACTAAAGCATGCCATGGATAACAGATGTATACACAGTTACTGTACGCTTTAGAATCTCAGAGAGACACTCATGAGGTCAAGTGTCTGTACAGAACACAAATCAAACACAGAGGGATTTTAAAATAAGGCCAACTAAGAACCTCCAAGAGAGAACTATCATGGAAATAGATACCAAAATCAAAGCCTGGGACCAAAGGCAAAGATATATTTAGTATATTTAAAGAAAAGAGTCTTCTCTATTAAGAGCTTAATAGAAAAGACTCCTAACTAATTTCAGAATCTTTCCTGAACCCAGGCTCATATGGCCAGATTACAATTTGAGAGGTATATCAAAAACAAGCAAAATCATTCACCAACCACATCACCACCACTATCAATAGCAACAACAAACCCCATGTGAACTGGAAAAGATAAGGGCTGATGAGATGGCCTAGCAGTTAAAAGTATACACTGCTCTTCCAGAGAATCCAAGTTTGGCTTCCAGTATCCACATAAGAAGGCTCCCACCTGCTTATAATTCCAGCTCCAGGGGACCCACGTGTGTACATCCATACACATATGCATATAATTAAAAATGATAAAAAATAAAATCGATAAAATATAGATAATGCCAGAATGGGATGTGCCCTGCCTGAGGCTAAGGTTAACAGTACTCAACTGAAAAGTGTGAGGTAGAATTCACCAAGATTTATCAACACCCTCACAAACAATCACTTCTGCCATTAGTACGGGGTTGAATATGTGTGCTCTTTCTCTTTGATACGTAACTGCTATCGACTAGGAGAAGGACCACAAAGGAAATGATCTGTTGTGTTTCCTCCACTGGTGTTTATTAAAGAAATAGCCACAATCTAAGGGACCAGTTCTTGAGCCATCCTGTGAGCAGTGCTCTGTGACATCAGACTTACAAAGACTAGAGAGACAGGGCCTGGGTTACAGATGCTATTTCATACTGGAGGTTATGGCCGGGTTGAATAACTCAGCCACGTTCACATGCCAGCACTGGGGGTGGTGAGGGAGCTGAGAACCCCAAATCAGTCTGTGTAACCTTAGAGCCTGCACATCAGTTGATAGTTACAAAGGAGTGAAAAGAAATGTTATAAAACAAAACATGATAGTCTATCAGTTCTTCAAAACAGGACCAGAGGGCCAAGCACCTCTCTCAGTAGGTAAGAATACTTGCTATGAGAGAAAGAGAACCTGAGTTCAAATCCTCTGTGCCTTTCCAACTGCCAGACATGGAATATGAGTATTTGAGGGCAGAGACAGGCGAGTACCAGGAGTCCACTGGCCAGCCTGCCTAAACAGAATGTTGAGTTGCGTTTTCAGTAACAGACCCTGTTTCAAAAACTAAGGTGGAGAGCAAGAGAGTAAGACACTCCAGATACTTCTGTGGCCTCCACAAGCTCAAATACAGACTTGTGTACTTGCATAGGCATGTACCCATACTCTGCACACATAATATACAATATACTAACACACACACACACACACACACACACACACACACACACACACACACA